TAAATTTATATTTTTTTAGATTTAAAAATACATATTTTGTTTTATTTTTTTTTTTTTTGTATTATTCTTTAAGTTCTTTATAAAAAAAATTCATTTCCATAGATTGCATGTTAGTAAGGGTATCTCATGTTTTCTTCGTGTACTCGACCTCAGCAGCTTAAGTGTAATACAGCTCAAGTGCTACTGATTAATCAAGCTACAAATTGCTGCGAAACGCCACTACATTATATTTGCACATTTATGTATAATTTCTCGCCGAGGTAATTATTTACATACAATAGAATTTCCTGTGCTATAAATGCCTACATCATATCACAGAAGCTTTATTACCTTTATAATATTGAAACTGTGTATTTTAATGAGCGTGATTCCATCGAACTGCGATAGTTATTCTGCGTTAACCCATATGGTCGAATCAAATTATGTGTGTCAACTATGCGGTAGCGGCAACGGAAGCAAGCAGCGTAATTTCTCTTTTACTCACGTTGACTGTCGAAACTTCAAAGCTATTTATGACTTGCGATTTAGTGCAGAGTCGCTTTTACTACTAGTACTACTACCACCACTACTAGCTTCGTCATCGTTGACGTTCGAACATGCTTTTCGATGCATTTACTTCGAGTTGAGCTGTTGTTCGCAGCGTGCAGAACTGCGCGCCCCGTATGAGACGCAGCAAAACAACTAATTCTATCCGTTGTTAGAGCAAAACCCCTTAATTCCTTCCAAGCGCGAGTCGTTTGCACGCTCGCTACACAGATTAATTGTCTCTCTTCCTCGCTCTCCTTCTATCTTTACCTTTTCTCTTTCCTCCATGCACCCATGGTTAAGGATGTCAAGAGCTAATATGCACGTGAATTAGTTTCATGCTCAATCGTTTGAATTATGCCAGCACTGGAGGAATCTTTGCTCACGCCTGTGTTTTCTTCATTATTATTTATTGTTACACAAATAATGCACGCTTTGATTATTCTAAAGGTATCGTTTTTGAAATTCAAATACCGCTTTGCAAATGTAAATATGTATAGAGAAATTCTCTGCGGAACATCACGTATAGTTCACTCGTGTTCAAGTAGTTTCTAACGCTCGGACTATTATGAAGTAAAATGATACATCATGTAAATTGGCAAGAAAACATATGATTTAAGCTTATGTACTTGGTTTGTTCAAAATTTAGTTTCTCTTTTGTCGTATTGTTCGAAAGAAGTTTCTTAAACGTAAACACACATATCACAAGATGTTACAGTACATTAAAAAAACGTAAGTCCATTCTCGTTCCAGTAAGTCATAATTTTAAATTAAAGTTTTCATACAATTTCAATTTCAACTTTGAAATATACTTCATGAATGTACCCTTTGTTGAGAGAAGATGTTTTTACCATTTATAAAGTGCATACTTTAAAATTTGGCATGATGATGGTATAATTACGCCAACTTTTTACCTTCAATAAAGCATACAAGCCTGGAAATACATACGTGGTAGCCGCTTATTCACCAAAAAACTTCTTTAAAACAATGAGACAAGAGAGAAAGAAAAAGGCAACAGCAAGATAAAGAGAAAAGGGGAAAACTAGAATAGACTAGTCAGTTTGTCACTCTTCTTGCCGAGGGGGTCTAAAAGTCCCTCTGCATGCAACTCTCAACCACTCAAGTTCTTGAACTAGACTTGAAAAGGATTGAGAATAACATTTAAGAAATGAAATCAATTAAAAATTAAAATATTACAAAAAATGAATAGAGGAAGCTCAAGTAATACCTTTTAAATAAATTATTATAGTTTAAAATTATTTTTAGTACGTACTTTTTCAAAACTATATGAAAACGATGTAAAGAATAATATAATCGTTTTATAATAAACTCCACGAACTTGTACTACATACATTTTTTTGATCATTCAAAAAATGACACTTGACACGAATATTTGAAATTTTGTTTATATCTTGAAAGTCGTTTCTCTGCTACTGAGAAAAGGGCAAAAATTAATGTAAATTACGAGTGCCAGCCGCAATGTATACTTATAAATTTCATTAAAATTCCCGAGTGTGTGAACATTTATTTTCGGCTCCGACATGGCTCGCCTTTTGCACTCATTTCCTTGACTTTTTTTAAATTCCTTGTAAAAAATCGACTTTTCTCCGTACTCATTTGCTTTTAGTCTGCTCATTTTCGGTTTAACAATATTCTCGAGGCTCGGACATTGTAAAAGCCTCTTAGACATTCTACTTTTAAGCATTAGCATTATTTAAATATAATTTTTACAATATTTTTCAACGGACATTTTGTCTGACGGGAATAAAAAAATTAATTTTAGCATAACATAATTCTAACGTCAAGAATACATTGTGTTAGTCATGAGTGTGAGAAAAAGGTTTCTTTTATTTTGTAAATTTTTTCCCCCGAGCTATTAAAAAAATATGTGGAAAAATAATTAAATTTTTATTGTATCAAGTGACAAATCGTGTAAGACGAAATATTAAGTAGTAAAATTTTAAATCAAAGTTTACACTTGAAAAAATCTAATTCAGAAAAAAAGCACGCGTAAAATGTCTTTCTCGTAAACTTATCCTTCTCGTCTTGCTCTTTTTCCATCGTCTTGGTGCATGCAGTTGTAGAGCACATAGAGATAATTGCAGAGAGCCTACTCTAGTGCTCGAAGAAGTCTACAAGGTCGAAGGAGAAAAAGAGAGAGAAGAGAGAGAGAGAGAGAGAGAAGCCGGCCTGTGAATTATAAATGGTCCTAGAACGACCGAGGTCTAGACAAGTTGGGAGCGCGGAGTTTGCAGCTCTAGTGATAGCTCATGCAAGGGCTTGTGAACTGAGTAAAGTGTAATATGCCTGGAAGGATCAGGGGGAAGCAGCAGTATAACTAGTTTTCACCGGAGCATCTCTCTCTTTTTTCAAGACCGCGTGTGCGCGCGCGTTAAAAGGAACGCTCCCGCTCGCGCGCGCGCGCGTATCGTGGATTTAGCTCTCCGCACAACATGTAACAAACTTGTCTTGTTAGTTCATGCCCCACCCGCCGATCACGTATTCTTTTTTTTTGCCCGTGTTGCCCTAATTACTCTCGCAAACTTATGTACTAAAAAGAACGTAGACGTCCCTAGCGTAACTCAAACTCAGCCGGTGAATTCTTTAACTTTTAGTTAATTTCAAGTACGTATGTTTGTGTTTCTTTGAGCAAAATCCCAAGCATTTTCCTTCTAAATTTTGATATCGCTAAGGTGCCTTATTTCTTTTGATGTGAATAAACAAAATTTCAATGATTTACCTGATCATACATTTGCTTTGGAAAGCTATAGGTCACCTCTAATAACCATATATCCATTATATATACGGCTACTAAGGGCAATTAGCTCGTAAACGCTATACTGTTAATCCTCAATCAGAATTACATGATATCTATTTCAAATCAGTATTGATAGTGAGCTCATCAACGGTTTTGATATGAAATGGCATCTCATAAAATTTAATTTACTTTTTTTTGCAAAATCATAGATTCTTTTATGAAAATTGCATGAAAAAATACTCACAAAAAAATTCAAATTAATCAACGATGATTTAATTAATATAGAATCAATTTGAAGTTCCATTTTTCGAAGGTAGCACTTTCTGGGATTATATGAGTTTAGAAGTAATTCGTTAGTAAGATGCATCAGCTGTTCAGTAATACAGCCGAGTATACCCTTGAGCTACATCTCCCTATATCATAAGAGGCAATCTAGAAACTAAAGGGCAGAGGCGTATAGGGGAAGGAAAGGTGAAACCGGGTGGGGGTATTAGGAAGGAGGATGAAGCTGTAATACCCGAATAGCTATCCATTAAGTCATCGGCCATGCATAGTCATCATCTTGCACGGATTCGGTATATAGATGCGCTACATGTATAATACAAATCTTCTCTCTGTGTGCATTTGCTGACATATACATACGTACACATAAACTCAAAAGCACACACTGAGATCCGAGCCCACGTGCGCCATTTGCAGAATATGTATACAGCACCCACACTCATGCACACACATACACGACTGACGTTGATCATATCGGAGCGTGTATTTTAGCGTTCAGAGAAAGCTCCGGTGCAAATCATTATCGAGCGCGACGCGCAGATTGTGAGCGTGTGGAATATCGCACAAAAGCCGCCACGGAAATGCCAACACTGTACTGTTCATAGCATCCAGCGTGCGCCCGGATATTGCCAACTGTATGCCACGACCATAGGTTATGCACCGTTTCGTTCGCACCGATTACTTTTGCTTTCCCTTCCCGGCCCTGGTTTACCGATTCTCCGCGACTGGGTTTAAGTGTGCGCTATCGCGTGAAATATTGTTGATGATTACGCGTGTTCGAGCGAGCCTATAACGTTTCTACTTTCTCATGCAGGTGTTTGATGATACATTTTTTTATCTCTATTGAAAATAATACTTTTCTTCGGCCGTCGTGTATCTTAACTTTTCACTCGTGAATCTTGAATACCATATCTTAAGCAATTACCGAATATGGCGTCAAATACTCCAAATATAACTCTTGCACTTTGCATAAATAACGCAAAGTTAAGTGGCAGGAATTGAAGTTGGTGGCAAGCTGGCGCAGCACACACTCGCTCGAGCACTTGAAATGCGTCATAACATAACTTTCTAATCTGTTTTGCCCTTAATAAGTTCTGCACCATACATTAGGCAAAATACAATTATACGCACGCACAAACGTACCCACTTTAACTAGTCGAGTGAAGCGAGTCTGTTTTGCAGTGCGAGCACTTGACTTAGCAGCCGTGCCTTTTGAATTTTGCCCTTGTAGCCTGTGTGCATTTAACTCGCCGTTTTCGAATCTTTGATTAGTGTCCAGCAATATGATATAGGAGCATTGAAATGATACGCTCAAATTTGTAAAGAACTATTAATTCGATCAATTATGCGAACGTTACTGTACTTATAATAAAAGTGTCAATACAACCAGAATCTTATTTGTCTAGAATTAAATCGTCTTATTGTCTTGTTGCAGTTCAACTTTGTCGGCAAGTTACTTGGTCCCAAAGGCAATTCCATGAAGCGCCTACAAGAGGAAACTATGTGTAAGATGGCTGTTCTCGGTAGAGGATCTATGAAGGATAGGCAAAAGGTGAGTTTACAATATGCTAATATCTTATTGACCTCAAAAATTCAATCTTCGTAACATTAAAATTAAAAAGAATCTTGTTTTTCATTATTTTTTAAGTTTCAGAAGCTTTCTCTTAAATGATCGATACTTTATTGGACTTGTTTTTGCTTTACTCATTTTTACGTGATTAATTAAAAATTTGATATTAAATCGAAACTATTATTAACTATTGATTGCATGAAAATTAGTAACAATATACCTTTGTTTTAATTAACTTTTATATACTGTAAACTTTTGCAGACTTGATTTAATATCATTAGTGAAAAAATACTTTTAATTATACAATGAAAAATTAAATTCAATCACTTACAAAATTCGCATCGTTACTTTGCCTTATTTAATTAAAAATTTTTTCATATACCGCTTACGGCTTCTATTACTGAATGAAAAAGTGTATATAAAAAAATCAAAAAACAAAAAATTCACAAATATATTTACATTTTATTATACTTGAAAATGCACTGATTTTATTGATATTATATCTGCAATGAATAACTTTTGATTGATTATCTCTTACGCAGTGAAAATCCTGAGGCATGATATACTTTACTGCGATTTCCCTTGAAAATACGGATTTTTCAGATTAAAATAATTCCTTCAATCAAATTATATAGAGTTCATACATAACAGGCGTGTGAATGACTTTCCAACAGCGTCGTACATGTTATAACCCTCTCGTGGTTTCTATCACAAGGGAAACGAAATAAAACTCGAGAGCAAAAATGAAAGAGGTAGAAGAGAGAGAGACTGGGAAAAAATAAAAAAATATTCTACGCAAAGGTGCATTTGCACGTACGCGCGCATCTCTTCGCTCGTGGCGTAACTTTCGTATATTTTAAAATGAGTGGCTCACTCGGTAATTTCGAGGATGCAAAAACGCGTCGAGGATCACTATGTCTTTGCTGTTACCTTAAAAACTACTTTTAAACTCTTTGAGCGAGAAAAAAAAGAAAAATAAATAAGGTGAATTCTCATATCATTCAGCTGTAAAGGTGAAAATTTTTTATATCTTTTTGCTTTTACTTATTTCAATGTTTGAGGATCGTACAGGTGAAAGACTAGCCATGATAAATTCAATAATCAAAAATTTGCATTCGCACTTTTTAAAAGTATAACGTACTTTGGCTACCAGGTCGAACAAATAAATTAAAATAGGCTGGATAAAATTGCAAAACAGAACTAAATATGCAAATTGTCTGAAAATTACTCGATTTGACCAAAGGAGAATGGAGTTGCGAGAGAGTTCAAAAGATAAAAAAAGAAACAAACACTTGTACTGATACATATTTATGACAGAATTAACACGGAATCGCACTTGGCTGCTGGATAAATTTAAAATTTTCAAATTTCTAGCTCGTCCTCTCTTACTCTCCACTGTGGTTCTTGCTTTTTCGCACTCTTTTTCCAGCTCTCTATCTTTTTATTTTTTTTTTTTTGCACCTCTTGACTTTGAGATTTTTGCCTACTATTTTTAGGATGGTATCAGGAGGGAAAAGTGTAGAAAATTCTACCCGTTGAGGACTCTTCGGTCCAACGCGCCAAAGATGCAGATTCGGGACGTATAATGTCCTCCTTTTTTCTTTCTCCTTTCGAGTTATATAATAATGAAACCCTAGAAGAAAACTTTTATTAAACTTTCATACACTCTGCAGGGTGAAAAACTTGTTTCATACGAATCTGAGTTCGTATTTTTGTCGTTATTTATGTTTTTTCAAACTTCGCTTTGACTTTCAAACATCGAGAAGGATTCCATTTAAAAAAATCGAATTTTCTCCAAGAGACAAAAGTATTATGACTCCGCGGCACTTTCAGGCGCGCGCGTGCGGGTACAAAATGTGAAACGTCATATATTTTTAAACATCGTCGAAATATATAGTCTCCGAGTGTAGCAAAAAAAGAAATTTTTTTATATTCCCTCCGAAAATCATCGTGGCTTTTCTGCGCGAGAGTTGGGTTTTAAAAAGCGGCCAAAAGCTCGCTGCGTGTAAAGCAAGTTTACGAGCTTTTTAGGGAAGGAAAGGAGAGAGAGAGAGAGGCCATTCTTACGATAAGGAGAAAGACCATTGCAGATTTTACGGGCAGAGAATGTAAGCGACGTCGTTGTCGCTCGTTGTATTCAAGCGCGTTGAATGCAGACAATGTGCGCCTTATACGTGCTGGTCAAAATGGCGAGCGAGCTTGCGCGCGGGTTAAGTTTATTATTTCCATACGCGAGCGCAGAAGCTTACACACACAAACAGGTTTTGTCACTGCTGTATACCCGCGCGGCCTTTCCTTGATATGACATTTAAACTTTATGCCTATATGCGCGATGGTACAACACAGATTTCCCAAGCATGCAAAGGCCAAGTGCACAAGGTTTAATTATGAAAATGATAAGTATTAAATATTGTATACGCAAACGAGAGAGCTTGCTTATCGCGAGGTAATGAAATCGGTATCATATTCCTTGCTTAAAATAATACGGTAACGTATCGAAGTACAAAAAATCAATGCACACTTAAAATTCATCATGGCTTCTCGTAATCGATGGGAGCCAAAGCTCCTTTATATATACTCGATGAAGGGTAAAAAATCTTCGCAGCGGAATATCGATCAATCAATGCAATCCATCACGCACGCGAGAAGGAAAGTAGCAGCGCAAAGGCTGCGCAAAAAGTTGCGAACTGGCGCTCTCGATGGCAAGATTTATTATGTTAATTAGTACGCGGGGGGAAAGAGGGGAGGGAGCGACGCGCGCGGGTTGCCTTTTTTTTCTCCGCCGTGCATGTGAGCTTTGTCGGAGAAACTATTCGTCATCGCGTCCTCGCGCCCTCCAACACCACCAAGACAAATGAACGGACAATGCTAGGCCATACTGCCGTGCTGCTGGTAGCTCGCACGAGCCCGGGCTCTAGTTTCGCTTGATTAAGCGTACAGTGGCCCTCTTGCATGCGTATACGCGAAGAGCCTTTTTATTGCGAGCACGAAAAAAAAAACAACGACTAAGTAGGACAGCTGAGATCGTAAACGGGCGAAGAACTGGCTCGGCTAGTAGTAGTAGTACTACTACTACTGGTAGATAGTAGGGTATTCAGCGTCTGACGCGCAGCTTCTATGGGCTTGATAATAGAAGTACGCAGTCGCTTGACGCGCTCTCGGTCGGGGGAGAGAGAGAGAAATAGCGAGAGCATCGCGCACGATATATAGGAGCGATTCTCATTAAAATTTCAGCGTTTTTCCAAGCGGCCCGCGCGTTTGTAAATGGTTTATGTGCCATTTGGGAGTTTTCTAGTCGCGAGCTGTGTACACGCATATACCTATACACGCAGCATGCGAGCTCTGCTGTATACGCTTCTTGTATTTTGCGCACATGGGCACGCGTACACATATATATACTATATATACAGGCGTGCACGTCGGAAAACTCCGTGTTCTTTTCATTTAGCGCTCGCGTGAATCTTTTTTATAGCCGTCGTATCGTATATATAAAAATAGCGCGTAGTACGCGTTCTCGCACACACACGCATCCGAATAGTCACACAGAGTAGATATACACTGCACTACGACGACGACGACAATGTTGACGAAAAATATCCAGTTTTATGCATTTGGTTTTGCTACTGCCGCCTGGGTGTATAAATGTGACTGACGTCTGCATTCAGCACATGTGCTCCGTGCAGTCGTTTGTTGCTTTCGAACTTTTTTTATGACAAAGGTAGAAAGAGCTAGAGAGAGAGAGTTTGTTTACGTAAGTGCTGAATTTGAAAATTTTTTATTGCTTTTGTTTGGTATTAGATTGTGGTATTATGATGAAAGTCGAGTTAAAAATCATATAGAATGAACGGGAGGCTGCCGATCGGACCAAGTAGTAGTATAAGCTCGTTTTAATCAGGCCGTATCTTCGTACTCTAGAAATCCCGCAGAATATAGATCAGTTTAGGATAATGACCAAATCCATTTCACGGTTCTTCGCAAATGACTAATTAATTAGGTTTCTCAAGTCCAAAAAAGGAATAATCAATAAAAGCGCCCCGGCATGGGGAAGCAATGAGCAGGTTAAAAAGAAATAAAACCCGGCTTCGATATCGAGTCCCAAGGGTGAGTTTTGTCTGGCCGAAACTCGTTCTCTCTCTCTTTAAATTCCTAGGGTAAATGCGCTCAACCAGTAAAAAGCAGCATCGACTACTACACCACTACTAGTAGCAGCGAGCGTGAGATTCGCTAGATCTGCTGTACAACACAATGGCATTTCGACTGAAAAATTTGCTCGACTTGGATGGACCCGTGAATCCGTTGAATAGAAAAAAAGCTTGGCGTACAGCTCGCTCGTCCCGAATAATTTAGTAGTAGCTCTTTTTTACTCCACCCACACACTACTAGTAGTTTCGCTCCGACGCCTTTTCCTCTATTATTTTTTTTTCTTGTTCGTGCATTGAAAATTTTTCTCGCTCTCGCGAGCCCGCGCGCGTTTACGTGTGTATACACGTCTACGTGTACGTATGTACGTATATACGCGCGCATTAACGAATTCAAGCGGATTATGCACGAGTCGACTGGAACTTTTCTCCGATCAACTGCGAAATAATGATGTTACTTATTGTGCGGCAATGCGCGAGAGAGCTCGACTGAGAGGAGCTTGTGTAAAAATCGCTCTGCGCATTTCTCGGCAATACGACTTAACCCAGTTTGCGTATCACTGATTATTCGGTGTTTCTTGTATACCTTTTTTTTTATTTTATCTTTATTCTCTTCGCAAAATGCTCAAACGACGCTGCGATAATACTCTAAATTTACCATAACCACTCGAGTTCAATCTCATTATTTGCAAATAAAACCGTGTTTATTCAGACGAATCAAGGCATTCTATCAAAAGAGTAATTACAAAAAAATCTGTTTATACGTCTCGTTACTTTTTTGTTCGTCAATTTGATCAAATAGACTAAACTACTTGCACGTGAAAATTTTCATCGTGCGTTCTTTTTTCGACAAAATATTGAAACTGTTTCAAGCAGACTCGTCGAGTTTTCGGCAATGCTAAAGAACCGAAAGAACCACAATGAAGTATCTCCATTTGAATCGTTAATAAAGTCTACTTCATTATTGAAATGTCATTCATTATTGGCCCACGAAAATTTATTCTCTTCTTGAAGTTTGTGAGCACATACTCCCTCGCGAGCCTGGAAACGCTACTCTGGAATGTTTTGAAAATTCCAACGCATCGACAGAGCTAACTTTATCCACATTATGTGAGTTGTTGCAGACTTTCGAGGTTTCGTTTGCTCTTTCTATTTTTTTCGGTCTTTACTCATTGTGTTTTTAACTTTCACGTCTTGATTTTATTCATAAATTTCCATTTATTGTTCTCTCTAGCAAAATATTAGCGGACTTGGTCACTTTTTGCCACGACATTTTATATCTTGTACTTCGAGCTTTGGTTTATTGCTTTCATGTTGAACTTCTTTTTGAAAAAAAAATTGTTATAATTATCTTGAAAGAATTAAATTTTGCTTATTTGCGCAACAACACGAAATAGCTTATCAAAATAAAAAATTTTTTTCGTGTTGAGATAAATTCTTGTTGTCGACCAACAAATATGAAAAATAAATTTTCAATATTTTTAATGAAGAGCATCTTCGTTGCAACTTTTTTAGTTGAAGTATACTTCTTGAGAGAGTTTTTCCCCAAAATGAAATAGTTCAAGCACTCGTGCAAGGTGGTCAGCATGGTAAAAACTCTCAACTTCATAGATCCTTTACATTCCCCGGCAATAATCGCAATTCATTTCACAAAACTTTGATCCGAATAGCCACTTACTAGAAAAATGACTCAAGTTTTTCTCAACTTTTTCACGCAACAGAAAAATATGTATTTGAAGGAATTGCGATTCAACGCTGCGCCGCGAAGGAATTTTTCTTTGTAAACTGATTCGGGCGTTATCAACCAAAACTCCTCGACGTCAACCATATATCAATGATTGACTTTATTCAATTTTTCTCGTCCAAAGTCATTTGAATGCGCGCCCGCGCGCGCGTCTCGCGATATAAACGTAAACAAGTTGTCAAATATTTTCTCGCGCACGGCGATTCAATATTTGAAAAAGTATACGGCAGTGTCAAAAAAGTAAGTTTCGGTTACTGCGCGTTGCGCACATATATATGCTCCACCTCATACCCGCTGTCATATCTAAACAACAGAAATGAAAAAACAATCTGCGTTCCCATGAGAATAGACGGATGTAGAAAGCAGAAGTCTCTCGTCTAAGAGAAAAACGTTTTCTTCCGCGCGAGTAAATCTTCCCCGACCGAATATACCAGTACACACAAATATATATGTATTGCGCCGCGTAGTAAGTCATGCGGTGCAAACACAACGACCGACGAACACTTTCTCTGAAAAATGAAAGGGTAAAAAAATAAAGCTTGTTCGCGAGATTGCACTTTGCCGAGCTCGCCCGCGCGCGCTCGCTTCTTTTCCCCGTCGCCTATATGTGTGTGTGAGGCAGTTCATATATGCGTGCCACTACGTGTGCGCGGCCAAAAGCATCATTGCAAAGCTCAACCGACCTATTCATTGTATAAGATAGACAGAGTGGTACGGAGCAACAAAGCCTTTATAACTTACGTGCAAGCAATTTGAAAAGAAAAGATACCGCTCACGCGCGCCCGCCATTCGTCATTTTTTCTTCACTTTTATAAATCAAAATGTACTTTTGCCTTTTTTTTCCATGCATTTAGTAGATAGCGGTGAAGGGGTGTGAGAACACGGGGGGCGGCTGCGAAATTTAAAAGATCTATTTGTGCTCGCACTGCTACTCTGCCTTATTGCGCTTCATTATCCGGATTTCGTGTATAGAGAAACAGAGATAGGTGCGCGACGCTCCTGTACATTATATTATGCCGTACTTTCACGAGCGAGTACAGATATCGAATTTTCATACGCGTAGCTGTGAATAGCTATTTAACACCGAGCGCGGGCAAATGAACACGAGCCCGTATAATAAATGCTAATTGCACTTTGTAATGACATTATTTTGTTACAGTCGCCGTTAGAAGTTCGTTGCTGATTTTTAATTCCGTTTCGTACGCGCACAATGACGAATTACTATGAACACGCGTGTTTGCGTATATCAAGCTGAATTTAGGTCAACGTGCATCGATCTGGACGTATTTTCCTCTTATCAGTGTCCATTAGATAATGAAGATTTTTTAGCTTAATTAAAAAATCTATAATAATTGTAAATACTAAAACGAATCAATCGTATCAATTCACATTACTCAATTCGGTTTTAATATGTTTATTACAGGAAGAAGAATTCCGCAAATCTCTAGATCCGAAATACGCTCATCTGTCGGACGATCTGCATGTGGAAATCTCTGCTCTGGCTCCGCCGGCGGAGGCTCACGCGCGCATCGCATTCGCATTAGCCGAGGTACGCAAATATCTCATCCCGGACAACAACGACAATATACGGCAGGAGCAGATGCGCGAGATGGAGCTGACGGTAGAGGAGCCGATCGACGAGAGGCGGCCCAGCGGTCGCGGTGGAATTCTCCGGCCGGCGCCACGACCCGGTCCTCCACCGCCAGGAATGCGCGTCGCTCGTCGTGAGTTTCATTTTATTTTTTTTATTTTTTTTTTTCATTAACGAACGTAAAATGTAGCGTTTACTGTTTTAATTCAAACGAATGCAGTTATTTAACCACGCGTTATTTGAATGTTTTCAGCTGCGATTTTACCACCACCGCCACCGACTCGCGCGCCCATAACTCGTCCAGTTCCAGCCAAGACCAAGGTGTTTTCAATTTTGGATCGTGCTCGTGTGGCCATGGACCAGAGCTACGGGTGAGTTTGTCATTCTTTCGAGAAATTCGACCGAAGAATTCGAGTCGACGTACGATGTAAATTATTTTACCATCTTCAGATACGAGGCGCCACCGCCGCCACCCTCGAATCGTGCGGCCCACCACGAGTACGACTACCCCGCCACCACGAGCAGCGGTCGCTACGCTTCCAGCGATAGACACTACCCGTCTTCCAGCAAGTGAGTATGCGCGATGGCATTTTGGAACGAGTTTTACAAACATACTTTCGATTGAGAGTCAAATACGTTGACCAAGTTTTGGAGTTCGCGAGGTAACTCAATCCCGCCGCTGCACAAAGAGCTCATCTTTCATTTTGCGAGATGTTTAAAGATTCATACAGTTACTACGTGTTAATATTTCAAGTACTGCGAGAAGAGAAGTTCGATGGGTGCGCTGCGGAGTAGATAAATACGTATACACGCGCGCGTGCCGCTAAAATTTGCGTCTGGTTTCGAGCAACCAGAACTTATTTCATGAATGTTTGATGCACTGAATAGGTATATCCAGCATATATGCCATCTCATACATAATAACTTGCTTCATTTTTTTTTTTTTTTTTTACAAAACTTAGTCTGAGTAATATTCGCATCGCATGGATGTAAAATTATGTATTCCCAGAAATCTCATACTGTCAAGTTTTAATTACTCGAAAGTTGACCGTTTGTCGTGTTTTGATATTTCGAGACATCTTTTCTTTTTCCTTCTCATACAACTGAGTACTTTAAAATCAACTAATAGAACGTTTGAAAATCTGAAAAAAATGAACTCGGAGAGTACAAAGCGCAAAAATAGACTCGAAAATAACGGCTAGTTGCAATTAATCAGAATGACGGATGCTTGCAACTTCGTGAGATACTCGGTTCTCCTTGACTGAAATCAGGGCAAAGTCATTCCAATATCGACTTGTGAACTATGAAAATAACTTTCTTCTTCAACTTTTGCCAGGATATCACGGCTATCATTCGTATTGTTGCACTCTATCATTTTGAGATAGTTATAATAAATTCAGTTATACATGAAAAAGCCAGCGGACGCTCGGGTTACGCTTCAGTCTGACGTATGACTAAAAGCTATTAGACCGGAAGTAGCGTCGTTAAATTATTATTCGAAAAATATCAATTTTTTCGAGGGGTCGAGGTTGGATGATTTTCATAAAAACACGTGTTGCACGTACATTACATTCGAGACAAATGTGCGCGCCACAGCAAAAGGTACCGAGGGAAGGTTGAAGCAAAACGACTGAGAATCGTATAGCTGGGCGCGCACAACACACAGCTCGTTTTCCGACAAAAGAACCAGAATGGCTAGAACAGAGAATCGTACATGTATGCGCGCGTGTAAGCGCTGGCCTGGAGCTTTAGCGGTATAACATTAAAAATGCATGAAAAGGCTCGCTCGCCCGCGCGTCGTTGCTCCGTACACGAGAGCTCGTGCCGCGTCCTCAAGCTGCCGTGTCCAAGTTGGCATGCACGCTGGAAAACGACGCTTCTCGCATCACTGAATCGGCTGTTATTTTTTGTTCGCATTCATTTTCAGCGAGGACATGTATCCCCCATCCTCGAGGTACGCCAGCAGCTCGTACGATTACGAGGAGGAGACGCCCCACGCATCGTCCCACGACTACTACGATCCTCCGGAATACCCAGGTAAATCCATTTTTCAATACTCGCTTCGTGTAATACTTCACGTATTTAGCTTGTATGCACCAAATGCTAAAGAGCTAGGAACTAAATTGAGATATATTTAATGTAGATATAAAATTATGTCTATCCATAAACGTGGGTTGATATTTGAAAACTTCTGTGATATTGTGCTTTTCATGATTTTACGCAATTAGTTGATTATATTGATGAGAACTTTAAAATTAAACCAGGATCTCTTATGATTTCAATTTTTAATCATATGTACTTTTAAACTTGCCATTTAAAATATTCATTTCCTTGCGCCATTTGCTGGGTAAACTTGCAGTTTTCATCACTGTTGAATTATATTTACTCATACAAACAATGAACTCTTTGTTGAGTTTCTTAATGCATTAAACATCAGCTTCCTAGCTCTTCTCATCACTCATTCTATTTCAACAATTAAATACTTAAAAAATCGCGATGATGATTTCTCAATTAAACTATTTTATAAACAATTATTATGCAAAATACACTCGTAACTTTGAATAAACCTCTTTCAATAATAATAATTCAAAATTTTAGAATTGTTTTACTTTAATTGATTTGGAAAACAAATATTTTTAATAATCTTTAAATTTTACAATATAAATAAACGCCTCTGAGTGTATATTAAAAAAAGTTATTATTTGGAATAAATCGAATTACGTTAATAAGATTTGATTAAATTTCCAAAAGTGCGTATGAAATGATGCGAACTCTTCTTAAGAAATTAATAGCGATAGTTGAATTTGTGATATCATGAAAAAGCATATTAATTAATAAATTTTAAAAATCCTCTAAAATTCAAGTTCAACGCTCAATGAAATACTCCGAGGATACATCCGGCCGTGCATGGAAATCGTACAAGACAACGACGACTGGCAGTAGCTCGGGGCAAAGCTCGCGTTATCGAGCCGCTCCTTATGCACGACCGTCTAAGTAATTATTTTCTGTTGAAAATTAATTGGAACCCCGCAATACATACGTAGCTATCAGAACAAAGGATTTTACTACATCGGACTTGCCTTTCAACTAATCATGCGGGATCACACTAATCAATTAGCTCACGTATAATCTCTTCGAAAGCGTTTACAATTTTCATAGACCGATAGATCAAAGCTTACACTTTATAATCCATAAAATAAACACATGCTTGAGGAAGTTTATTCATGCATAATTTGTGTAAGACAAGTTTCTTGATATTTTTTACTTTTTTTATTTTTAACCTTAGGATATGACAAATAAATAGCGATTACAAGGTTACCTTTAATGTTTTTATTTTTGAAAGGTTTAAAAAACCTCTTCGCTTTTACATTCAACATGTGTCTTTAATCTATTTTTTCGCATCCCTAAAGTTCGTAAAAATACTTAAACATATTATACATTCAAGTATCTTATTTAAAGGTAACCTATTTATAAAAATTTACGACAAATAATTAAATATAGATAATCTGTAGGCCCAACAATTAACTCGATCTAAGCATAATTTACACATAGTGTAAAGGTGATGATTTCGTTTCACTTTATTTTACGTTTGAGTAATTGAATCATACTGGAAGTAAATGACGAATGATATTGAAAGAAACCAATGTATCTAAATAAAACGAAAAAAAATTTCAAATGTTTTCCCAGTAGTCCCATGTTTGATTTAATCTCGATGTGATAGTTAACAAAAGTCCAACGAAGCACAACTTGTAAAATCTAAATTATACAATAATTTAATTAAATTGACTCTGAAACCTTTAATGTAAACAATAATCAAAAGTTTTTAAATATAAAAAAATTGAATCGTAAAATTTAATTGAAATTTGATACGATTATAGAAAAAATTTTTCCTTACACATAAAATTTTTGAAATCGTGTGTATCTAAAAATTAGTGATTGACGTTCCTTAAATTAAGGCAAAATAAAGTACTGTATTATTTTTCGATATTATTAATTTATCTATTTTACTAATTGATTGTTCCTGATATAAATTTTTCATTTGTGAATTTGGAACATAAATCTATGTTATTTCGATAAAATTAATATTTCCGCATCGTATTGATTCGCATCTCAATATTTTTATATGCTAAAAAAACGAGTGAATTCCCCATTTATCTTTATTATTACAACTATTAATATCTACAATTATAATGAAACATTATAAAATATAAATAAAAATGTATCATCATAGTCTACATTTTCGATGAATAATTTGGTAAAATTAGTTGATTTAAATGGAATAGTAATAAAAACAATAGGGCTACATCGTTATAAACTAAACTCTACTTTAATTTTCTAATGCCCAAATTAATCGAGTTAATAAATCGATTACAACCACATTAAAATGTATTAAACTAATCTGTAATATTTATGACACATTGTACTAGAAACTTTATGAGAACAAGTAGTTCTTATAATTACCTACATCAAAATTATGTAATTATTTGAAAGTAAAGATAAATAAATTGATGGTATAACAAAACTATAACTCAAATTTCCTTCTTAATTTTAGAAGTCTAATTATTTAGACAAAAATACTCTAAGATATAATGATACTGATTAAAATTGTTTACAATATAATAGTTAGCAAATGTAACACGCATTTGAAATTTCTCGTTCAAATGTAGGTAGGGTAAAGTATATAAGAAATTAATATTTGACACAAAATTAAAATCAACCCACTCCTCAGCTCCCCTTGACGCCCGTGAAATAAATTGCTTTAAAATTTTAAATCATATTTACCACTAAACTTAAAATTTTAAAGTACTATGAGGAAATGTATCAAATACACTTGCTCTAACAAGCATCAAGCTCAAATAAATGCAGAAACTTTTTTAATGTTCTTGATTTATTATCGAACGTAGTTTTACACTTTAATTAATATTATATCTATTTTTCGTCTGTTTATAAGGATCTATAGTCTTTCCCACGTTTAATCATTTTTTTATAGTAAATTTAATATTTGAATTAGAATTGTTTCACACATGAAAAAATACAAGTCAAAATTCATATAAATATTTTTTCAGGCTTTTTAAATAGCAATATGTTCGAGATAAGATCTATGATATATCACTTTGAGCTTGCTCCAGACATAAAAATATATTTTGAATGTAGTCAACCTGTAGTTATCATATTTATTCCTTTTAACTCAATGACTCAAAAGTTTTTTCATTTCAGCTACATAAAATATTTTTCTTATATTATTATCATTTAAAAATTATCAAATATTATTATTTATATTTATCACAAACATTAAACAATTTATTTAAACTATGTATAGCATCAATGAAGCTACTATAAGACAATTATCATGAACTTGCAAGTCGTGATGCTAAACCATAACGAAGACATTGATATTTTAATAGGGACATAAAATCTTCATGTCCGCCAGCTGCACATAATATTAAAGTATAGAATGTCTTTGAATAATGATATAATTAAAATATAAATTCCCAAGCAAAATAATAAATAATAATCATTACAAATTAACATTCGACATTGAACAGGAGACGGATCTTAGCCAAAGAAAATTTTTTTAAATAAAAAATATCGATTAAATTAAGAACAGGTAAGGTCATATCACGTCATGGTAAACTTGAAAAGAATTATAATATTTTTTACGTCTATTTTATTTTTTTCAAATTTTATAAAAAATACAAATTTACAAATAATGAAAATGACGAATTGATAATAATTTAAATCGTATAATACTTTTGCGCGAAATTTTGAAGCTCTTATTTATACTTTCTAAATTAACAATGAAATCAAAAGTACATTTCTATAAACTTATCTAAATCCTCTTTAAATTAATTGAAAAAATAATAAAAAATTACAAAATTCATTAACATTCAAATTATTTGCAATTTTTGTTTAAGTTACATGAAATTTTCACTAACAAAGCGTGAAAAAATGTCAAGATAGAATTCTATGATACACGTATTTCTATTTTTCAGGACTTTTTAAATCATTGAAGCAGGGGTTCGAACCAGCATTGACAGTTAGATAACTTAAAATTAATCGTCTGTAGCAATTGTACGTGTCTCAAAGGTCAAAAGTTGCCACATGAGTTGAAGCAAGCGAAGCCTCTAATTATCTTCTATTCTTACCAGATGACAGGGCGCTGAGCAACGACGATTGTGGTAGAAGCCGCGAGACGTATCAACCCGTTGGATGCCTCGACGTAAGTACATTGAAATGCCGAAGACTCCGGCTCGTTCTTTGTGGCTTTTATGAACAGAGCTTATATCCGTTTCGTTGACTTTGGAAGTCAGCAATTTATGACTGGGAGAAACCAAGATTTGCAGTATGTATTTAAACTCTTCACCGTATATCGTGGTTTTTCGATTTCTCTTTAAAGGCAGTGCCATCGACTTGATTATTAGTCTTTTCCTTAAAACGAAAATTATTTACAAAATTCTCGGTTGATGAATTTAGCTTTTTTCGAGCTTTTTGATGTTTAATTTCATTTTGCAAGTGATCCAGTATAGTAACACGAAAAGTGAGAAATTAAATTTCTTGATGAAAATCAGGTGCAGTGTCACCTTATATGCCCGGTGGCTTATCGCGGAATTGAGCCATCAAATTAATAATTACTCGCTCGGCATCAATAATCAGTGCTGCAACCGCGTCAATTCCCTCATCAATTTGGTAGCAAGCCTTGGCAACAAAGTTAGGGATAGAGAGTGAGAAAGCGAGAGACGAAGTGACTCGTAATTAAACTCTATAAAAGCCATTAATCGGTTAACAGCGGTGGTTTCTGCACTCTGCCTCTCTCTAAACTGCTGAACTCAAAAATTTATAGATTTTAATATGTATAAAATGAATGCACGCGTCTCGGAGATGTTACTTACGTAATATAACGCAGTGACTATATTTTTGGCCGTTTTGATCGTGCAATTACAACAGGACTGTGCAGTTAAGATGACCTCGCGTGTTTGTCGATTTAACATACCGTCGTGTTCGGGTGAAATTGCAAGGTCGAGTGTGCGCGGCATAATTGCTAATACAAAGGACTAAGTAAGCTTTGTGCAGAGAGTACGAGTGTCAAAGCCGCACAACCTATCGACAGCTTCATATGCGTGGTAATTGTCAATTTCGTGTACGGGTGTCGCGAGTTTGGAACGCATAAGACGATAATAATGCGCACAGGAGAGACGACTTAGTTGAACCTTAACCAAAGCGAGCAAAGTTTTGACTGACTATACGGTATATACTCTTGACTTTCGGTCGCATTAATTTGTTTATCAACAATATAATAATTTCTAAAGAGTATTTATAGCTTCATTTAATTTATTAATTTTTTTAGCGTTTACAGGCATATAATGGTATTACTTTAAGAAAGTACAGTATATTCTACTTCAAAATAAAAAAAAATATTTTTTTAATATTTCACAGGCAATAATTCACAAAAAATGATTTTATATGGCTTACATGATAATATATTTGACTTGAATAAAATATAAATTTTGATTACGCAATTTATTATTTTTACTTTAATTAATACCTTATCTCGTGTTTCCTGCTTTTACAAGATAATCAACTGCGCTATAACATAACTTTTTTAATTTCTTAATACCTTACGTTTTTGAATAATATAACAATTCATTTCCTTTCTCATTAATAATGAAGAAATTATTTAATCAAATTTGTTATTGTCCACCATAATTCATTAAATAAAGTAAGAAAATCATAAAGCAAAATCACACTTTTATTTTAATTAAAATTCAGTACTTTTTAAATAAATAAAAATATTAATATAACTTTAAGTTTTTCAAGATTTCTGTCATTTTAATAACATTTTACGTGAAAGTAAAACTGTATCTCTAGTTAATAAGTTCAATGTTCTGGTAAGTCTCTACTCCAACCGATTGATGATAAAACAAGTATACGGCTAACGCACCACAGCTGCACGCGTATAAACGTACTATAGCAAGAGTAGATCGGAGAGATACTAAAATGGGAAACATGCTTGTCTACTTTACCAACAGCACACCATAATTTATTATTAATAAACTTTATAGTTTTCTTTTATCATAAGTACGTATTATGTAATGTACGTATACAAATGAGATCAAATTATGTTATTCTATCATTTTTTATTAAAAATAAATGAATAAATAACAATTTCTATTCGGTGATTCACATTCAAAAAGAGTTCATTTCAAAATACGTTTTAAAAGAAATTTTATTATTTTACTTCAATTTAAAAAAATGATTTCGTACAGCTTCAATTATGATTTATTGTATACATTCAAAAGTTGGAATGTGCTGACGACAGAGAATTAATGTGTCAATACCGAAACAGTTATTTACGAACAATCAAAGGCATTCAAGCTTCGACATCCGTTTTTCATTCAATCGAATATTGTCTTAAGATTATGCAAAATTTTGACGTTTATCTTTCATTCGACAACTTTCTCAGTGACCCATTACCATATTTGGATTCGAATCGTGTACTCGGCGCAATTTAAAAATTTTGCCCGACGATTACTTATTTTATCCAACAGCAACAGCGACCGCAGCAGCATTCGATTGAATCAGCTCGCAAAACCAGTACTTTTCAATTATCGCGAAAAACCAAGTGCATCGAGTGAGTAACTATATTCGCATTACATCTCTTATATGGAATTCATGACGTATACTCGCGCGTGTGCCTGCACTACACACTGGCGCGTTTTTACCGCTGCCGCTGCAAAACGTCTCGGTATGACTAAAAATAGTCAACGGAAGATGCTGTAATAAGAAGGGATACCCGGAGCCCCGCACAACTTCTCCATGGCTCGCACCATAAGAGTTCCATAGGCAGCAGCAGCTCTTGGAAATAACGAGAGCAGAGGGGCAAGATGTGGAGCACTCCGTCTCTTTCTCACAAACGCGACTCCCATATCTAATTTGCATAGCACATGCGTGCGGACTCATGCATACTACAAATGTGTATGTGTGACGTATACGTATATAGTTCCTTTCTTCATATTATGTGGGCGAGCGGCAAGAAATAGGAGGGGAGCTCGTATAGCGTATTTTCTTTCTCTTATTATCATGTGGCCGACGCCGCCGCCGCCGCCGCCGCCGCGCCATATATACTCGCTATTATATATATACGGCGCGGCTTCTCCGTCTCTCTCGCTCTCTCTCGCGCGTACAGTCAGCAAGCCAGTCAGTAGTAAGGGGGACTTATTTTCTTTTTCTCTCTTTTGAAGAGTAGTTTGTCTCGCTCTAGCTCCAATGCATCAGTTTTCGTGCTCCACTGTGCTCCGGAAACATGAATACGACTTTGTGAGCGCAATTCTTTTTACCGCGAGTGCGTGTGTTTTTTAACAAAAATTGTTTAGTTACAATACGTGCATGTGCCAGTTTTTTTTTTTCGATTGTGTAGTTTGTGTAACATGTTCGTCGTGCGGTGTATCACTCGCTCATCGCATTAGTCAGCGCTATAACGCACATAACGAGGTAAAAAACAGGCCAGATCAGCCGCACGGCGCAGAGATCTGTAATTTTAATTTATGTTTCCTCTATTCCTAAGCTGCGGTGTGTATATGTGTATGCCTCCACTCCTCGTATCCAAATATACTTCCTCAGACTCTAGGGTATATATGTGCTAAATGTATCGGGGCTTGGGCGAGGTCTGCGAAGTCAATAATATTGATAACAAACGCGCGGATGAGTAAAAAAAGAATTGCTATGTCTAGATGAAAATATCTTGTAACAAAATGGTAGCTAGTTGGGCGTGTGATTCCTATGTATAGCAGTACACACACACTGTGTAACAACGGTAATTCTGCATTATTTTTCATGACTATAGTGAGAGATAGTTGTCACTCGCAGACATCGATAGCGACTATTGTCTCTTTGATAAAATAATTCACGGGTTCCGGTGCTTTGGCGTGTGCGTAGACTCGTATACGTATGTACGTATATATTTGTATGTGTACACACACGCCCACGCATCAGTGCATGTTTTAATATATGCGCTGAAACACGTTCGTCTGTAAAACTTATATACAAGCAAATATCGAGTCTGCTTGATTGTTACACACCTTGGAGGTTATGCACGTATAATATTATGCTCTTACTTTTACGCATATTTTATTTTATTACAATTCCTCAAGACGCGGAATTAATTTATTCAACATCCGGACTCGTCATTATGCAAATGTATTTCATAATTACGGATGTTTTACGATATAATTAATACATACTTTTTAACTGTTTTGGTAATTATGAGACTTATTTTATCCACGCTAATCGCACTAACGATTAAAAAGCATTTTAAAATGATAATTGATATAAATTTGATAATGAAATGCTTCAAATTAGTAGGCGATAAACAACAAGTGATTATCGATTTGTTTCAAACTCTGCTTGCTAATCAGACTAATTTGTTGTAAAAGTAAAAACATTTCAAATTATCATTGACGAAATGGATTTCAAGGTGATTTTAAATTTATATTATCATAAAAATAACTATACCGCTTATTGTTTTATTTCAAACACATTTATTTGTGTATGTCTTGTGGAATATTTTAAAAATACTCTTTAAAATTTAATGTTTGTTTTTGTAAAGATGTGTTTCTTTATTTATAGAAACTTGTATACCCACCATGGTATTATCAATAATGAAATGTTTTTACGAAAAAAATTAAACGAGAGAATTTTTTGAGATACTGCATAGATTAATTGAATAAAATTCTTCAAAATATTAGTAAAAAGAATTTAAAGAACTAAAAACTTGATGAGTTTTTTTACATTTCGCAAACTGCAATAGCGAGTCACGTCATCGTTCGCGAAAAAAATTGCGAAAGAATTTAGAAACGTGCTTAAACTTATAAGTAGTATGGAAATGAATTGTCAAATTCATTCATGGCAGTTAACCATTGATGTAACAAAGCACTTCAGATTTTATGGTGTTTTGAAAGTAGCCCAGAACTATAGCGTAATTAAATTCAAAAAAATAAACTTGTTTACATTTGAGACGTGATGTCAACCTAAAAAGCTGGAATGTAGAATTTACTCATTGAACTTTGAAAATAAACGTCTTTTCTTTTACTTAGGCTTTTGCCGATCGTAACTCGGCTGACTCATCTCGAGTGCAGCGCATTTTCTGTTATACTCTTTTAAAAATGTACGCAGTACTACTATATTTGTTAAATATTCATCAGTTGCGGCCTCAGTAGATATTTATTTGCATGCGATATCTTCATGTGATTTATTGTATTGGTTCGTTTCTAAATTGATGCCTTTGAGTTTTCGCTTAGAATCTTATTTTAACAAATATATATTGAAAAATGTACTAAAAATGACGTTTACACTAACAAACTTTTCTGTGTTGAGATATTTTCGAACCAATTAATTACTTTTTAACCTTAATTATAAATAAAATTTCATTGAAGAATAACTATACATAAAAAATAATTTAAAAATGGAAAATAAATGATTACGGTTTAATAAAATTAATGTTAAATAAAAAATATTTTATGTACAGTGCTTAATAAAAATTGTCGAAATTTTGTCAATAATAAAAAATGTCTTCAATTGAAATGAATCAAATATTACATGGTATAAACGCTCAACATTTTATGGCTAGTATTTACCCAACGAAAAAGTTTTTTCGCATATAAACAAGCCTTAAGAACTTAAGATAAGTGAATTCACATTCACATTATATACACAATTATTTTCACTTTGCCACTTGCAGATTCGTATGTAAAGGTACTCGCCATCTAGTGGTGGATGCTTAAAATAGTATTATCGTATTTGAAGTGGTTAAAAACCTCAGCTCAGTTAATATGCGCTATTTGTAATATAACTTTGACGGAAAAATCATCTAAACAAATCAATTCATTTAATGTCTTTTGAAGCTTTTTAAATTATTTTTTTGGGTATTAGGCTATTATTAATGTTGAGCAATTCTACCGTAGTTGTTAAATTATTAATATTTTGTTCGAAAGAGACTATATTTATGAATCTATTGAATTACTGTTTCAGAATTCACTCGGACACACTGAAGAAACTAGCTGCAATATTGTTATACATCTTCTAAACTGTAAATATTCCGTGTTTTCACCATGGCTACAATATCACTGAGAATTTCCATACCGGAAAAAAATGTCATAAAAATGATGCAATTTGATCCAAGCATATCAGTCCATCATGCTTGTGAAGTGATAAAAGACAAACTCGTCGAACATGAAATCAGTGGGTTAATAGCAACAGATTATGGGCTCTTCTTACCTAGTGAAGATGTCAGAAAAGGCGTTTGGCTCGAATCAGACAGAAATTTAGATTATTACATTCTGAGGAACGGAGATCTTTTGGAGTACAAAAGAAAATCAAGAACATTGAGGGTGAGAATGTTGGATGGAGCTTTAAAAACAGTATTAGTCGATGACAGTCAAACTGTTGCAAATCTCATGGTTGTCATTTGTACGAAAATCGGCATTACTAATCACGACGAATATTCACTAGTTCGCGAACTTCCAGAAGACGAAAACGATGGCCATAAGAAAGATAATTTTGGAACTTTGACTCTAAGAAGAAAGAAAGACGATAAAGGCGAAAAAAATTCCAAAATGGATCAATTGAAAAAGAAGTTAAAGACTGACGACGAAGTTAATTGGATCGATCCATCTAAAACGTTGCGAGAACAAGGTATTCCCGAATCAGAAACGGTCTTGTTGAGACGAAAATTTTTCTTCTCCGATCAAAATATCGATGGTAGAGATCCAGTTCAACTGTCGCTTCTATACGTTCAAGCCAGAGATGCGATTTTAGATGGAACGCATCCTATCGTTTTGGAACAAGCGTGCGCATTTGCAGGTATTCAATGTCAAATTCAGTTCGGCGACCACAAAGAGGACAAGCACAAATCTGGGTTCTTGGACTTGAAAGAATTTTTGCCTCAATCTTATTTGAAAATAAAAGGAGTCGAGAAGAAAATCTTTGCGGAACACAAAAAGCATCGTGGTTTGTCGGAATCCGAGGCGAAAGTCCTTTACACAAAGACTGCTCGATCTCTCAGTACTTACGGAGTAACTTTCTTCTTGGTGAAGGAAAAATTGAGAGGAAAAAACAAATTGGTTCCCCGACTGTTGGGTGTCACGAAAGATTCGGTCTTGCGTCTGGATGAGAAGACGAAGGAAATTTTAAAGACGTGGCCTCTGACAACGGTGCGTCGTTGGGGTGCCTCGCCAAACACATTTACTCTGGATTTCGGAGACTATTCCGATCAGTATTACAGCGTTCAAACGACCGAAGCTGAACAAATTCTGCAATTGATATCCGGATACATAGACATTATCTTGAAGAAGCAGAAAGCCAAAGACCACTTCGGTATCGAAGGAGACGAAGAATCGAGCATGGTGGAGGACAGCGTGTCCCCCGTGCGGGCGACGATTATGCAGCACGAATCGAAGCGCGTCGAGAGGAGAAACGTCAACTCGCACTCGGTGGCCGTGCCTTCGATCATGAGATCGAGCTTGAACGGTGCTAGGAATTTCGAATTCAGCGAACTGTCCGGTGCTCAGTACACCACGACGAGCAGACAAGCCAACATGGTCTATCCACCCGGTACGATGACCGCGCCTCCCTCGTACATGTCGCAGCCGCAGAGAGCCGCTCTCGAGTCGACCATCATTTCGGGTCGCGAGATCATCGAGACGGCGGAAATGGAGCTGTCGCGCAGGACCATGTTCCCGGAAATAGGCAAGGACAATGCGTCCATCAAGTGGAGAGAGCAGACCATCGACACGCACAAGCAGAACATCGGCTCGCAGATGGCCGCGATGAACGCCGCCGTGGCCCAGGTAGTGACGCTGACCTCGAAGACTTACGAGGAGGTCGACCACGACGCCGTGGGTGCCGCCATTACCACCATCACGTCGAACCTGCCCGAGGTAACGAAGGGAGTGTCGATGATCGCTGCGTTGATCGACGACGAGTCGACCGGAGACAGACTTCTGGACGCCGCCAGGAAGCTGTGCTTGGCTTTCTCCGACTTGCTGAAAGCCACGGAGCCGGAAACGAAGGAGCCGAGACAGAGCCTCCTGAACGCGGTCACCCGCATCGGGGAGGCATCGCAGCAGGTCCTCACGACCATGAGACCCGAGGACGAGACCCAGCAAGAACAGCAGGACGTTCTTTTATCTTTGGCCAAATCCGTCGCCAAATCCACTGCCGCTTTGGTTCTGAAAGCCAAAAACATTGCATTCCAGTGCGAAGACTCGGCCCTGCAGAACAACGTCATCGGATGCGCGACGAATTGCGCCTTCTCGACCTCGCAATTAGTGGCCTGCACGAAAGTCGTCGCGCCGACTCTCGACTCACCCGCTTGTCAAACCCAATTGATAACCGCCATACGCGAGGTGACCAAAGCCGTCGAGCAGTTGGTCCAGGTCTGCGACAGCGAGTGCACCAACGAGGTGTCGCTGAAGGAGCTCAGCCAGGCCGCCGCCAACGTCACCAAAGTCCTCAACGACTTGCTGATGCAGGTCAAGCTGGCTAGCAGGAACGAAGGCACCGACGAGCCGGACCAAGAGAAGTACGTGGAGACCATCCTCATGGCGACCAATAAACTGTTCAGCATGCCCAACGAGACCGAGGAGATAATTCGCCAAACGAGAATCGTCGGACAAGCCACTGCCCAGCTGATTCAGAGCATCAAGAGCGACGTGGGCAAGCAGAACGACTCGGAGCACCAGCAGAAGCTGCTCATAGCCGCCAAGGCTCTCGCGGACGCGACCGCCAAGATGGTAGAGGCCGCCAGACAGTGCGCCAGCGCTCCCCAAGACACCAAGAGACACGACAACTTGCGCGAAGCCGTCGAGGAACTTCGCGAAGCCACGACCGTTGCCGCCTTGCCCGCCATCAAGGGTAGCCTAATCAGCAAACTCAGGACCAATTCCAAGCTCGCGGCCTCGGCGGCGGCTCAGTGCGCAGCTGCCGTCTCGGGCGTGACCAAATTCAACATGAACAGCGCCACTCAGCGCGATCTCAACGAGAACTGCCAGAATATGATGCAGCATATTCCCACCTTGATAACCGAAATAAAGAACACATACTCGAAGCCGCACAGCTCGTCGGCCCAATTGAATCTCATCAACGCCTCGGAGGACTTTTCGCTGTCGTGCGTCACGGTCTTGAAAGCCATCAAATCGACTCTGCCTACAACTTCCGACAACGCATCGATCATATACTTGAAAGACAGTTCGCTGTATCTGGGCTCGGCCTTGACCGATCTGAAATCCGTGGTGACTCGTTCCAAGGAAGTTTTCACTGGATTGGAGTTCGAAGCAGCCGATGAAATGTTGACGAATTTGAGAACCGAATTGCAGGATTTGAACGAAGCCATGAAGACCAATTCTCTGAAGCCTTTACCCGAAGAAACTTCTGAATCTACCTCGATCAAGTTTGGCTCAGCCTCTAAAATGATCGAATTCACAATGGCCAAGCTCTTGTCAGCTTGCAAACAAAACAACGAAATATTCATTAAGAGGACCACCAACGAATTCGCCGATAACATGAAAGAATTCGTATCTTCCGTAAGAGGTGTCATCGCTACCAACGAGAGCCACGTGCAAGGCGAGATTTTGAACAACGCCTTCGACGTACTGAATCTGTCCGACAAATTGTTGAAGCAGGCCAAAAATTGCAGCGAAAGTTACACCGAGCAAGACTTCGAGCATTTGACGCACATAAGCAAAGAAGTGATCCACTCGCTCGACACTTGCGTGTCTAGTCTGCCGAATCAGAGAGATCTGAACGACGCCATCGGACACATTCAGCACCTCAGCGACACCTTCGAATCGGACCTACCCCCACCGTCCGACAAATCCTTGGGTCAGCTGCAATCCGAGCTCAGCGCGTCGGCCGTTCGTCTCAACGACATCTCCGCGCAGTTCTTGAACTACGTGCAGAATCCCAACGAGCTCTCGTTCGCCACGAAACTGTATCTTCAAGCTCTGGGCGGTACGCTGGAAACCGTGAAGGAGATACAGCAGCGTACGTCGCAAGAGGTTCAGCCTCAGGTCGTTCATTCGGTTCAGAATATCTGCAAGAATTCCATCCAGCTGTTCTCGCTGACCAAATCCATAGCCATGGATCGGCAAACTCCGAACGCCAAGAATCAACTGACCGCGGCCTCCAGAAATGTGACGGACTCCATCAATCAGCTGATAGACATCTGCTCGTCTTCCACCGTTGGCCAAATCGAGTGCGACAATTCAATCAGAAATATTCAGTCTATGCTTCCATTGCTCAACAATCCGAACGAGCCCATTTCGGACGCCACGTACTTCGAGTGCCTGGATGACATTATCGAGAAGAGCAAGATTTTGGGCGACGGTATGACCGGTATCGCCAATCATGCCAAGAACACCGAGCACGACAAATTCACGGATTCCATCAAGAACGTGTCCGACTCGATTTGCGGCCTCATTCAGGCGGCTGCGCAAGCGGCCTACTTGGCCGGAGTCAGCGACGTGTCGAGCGCCTTCGGCAAACCGGGCCTGATCGATCAGTCTCACATCTTCAGAGCTGCCAACGCCATTCAGGTGCAATGCCAGACGTTCGAGAACTCGATTTACACGCAGGAGCAGCTGTTGACCGTGGCGACGCTGATCGCCAAGCACACCAGCTCTCTGTGCAACGCCTGCCGAGTCGCCTCCAACAAGACGAAGAATCCCGTGGCCAAGAGGTACTTCGTGCAATCGGCCAAAGACATCGCCAGTTCCACGGCCGTGCTCGTGAAGGAGATCAAAAATCAGTACCCCGGCGAGACGGAGAGCAACAGACGAGATCGCTACGAGAAGACGAAACCGCTGCTGGAAGCCATCGACAACCTGTGCGCCTTCGTCAGATCGCCCGAGTTCGTGAGCCAACCCACTCAGATATCCTCGGAAGGCAAGATCGTCCAGAAGCCCATCATCAACGCCGCGCAGTCCATAATCGACAGCTCGTGCGCGATGATATCGTCGGCCAAGAGTCTCGCGGTCACCCCCAAGGACCCGCCGACCTGGCAGCTGCTGGCCAATCACAGCAAGAACGTCAGCGACTCCATCAAGTCGCTCGTCTCCTCCATCAGAGACAAGGCCCCGGGCCAGCGCGAGTGCGACTCGGCCATTCAGAGCATCACCCAGCGAATCCACGAGATCGACACGGCGGCCATGAACGTCATATCTCAGAGCTACATACCGCACACGAAGAACACCATCGAGAGCTTCATCGACATGATCAAGAACAGCTCTTGCGAGCTGCACGAGAAGCTGGTGTTCCTGTGCACCTCGGCCAAATTCGAGACGCAGAACATCGGCCACTCGGTCACGCAGGTCACGCTGTACAGCGAATCCTTGATAAGCAGCGGAATCAAGCTGGCCTTCTCTCTGAAACAGCAGAAGCAACAGATCCAGCTGTTGGACCAGATAAAAACCGTGGCTGAATCGATTTTGCAGCTGATTTACGTATCCAAAGAAACGGGCGGAAATCCAAGGGCCAAGAATCTTCACAGCAATTTGGACGAAACTGTCAACACCGCTCACGAGTCTCTCAACGATTTGGAAAAAACAGTCGAGTCAATTTCCATATCGAACGGTGCTACCTCTGGATTGGTCGACGCCATCACCCAATCGCTTTTGGCCTTGGAAGATCACGAGATCCTCGACTCTGAAAACGTCGATTCGTTGGGTAATTATCAATCGATCATGATCGATTCGTGCAAAGAGATATCCCGAATCGCCAGCAAAATCAGTACGAATCTCGATAACAAAGGCACGGACCTCACCTCTCTCGCTGCTCAGTTGTCGCAAAATTATTGCAAGCTGGCCAACAGCGGCAGACACATATTCGCCGTACTGTCGAACGAGCACACGTTGACCAAGCTGCGCTTAATCGTTCAAGAGGTCGGCAAAAGTTGCATCGACATCGTACAGTCCATCGGCAGATGCGAGATGCAGTCGGGCGACTTCTACTTCCATCAGGAGATACGAGAAAGTTGCAAGAACGTGACGGAAAAGATCGGCCAGATATTGTCCGTTCTGCAAATTGGGTCGCAAGGAACTCAGGCCTGCATCAATGCGGCCAGCACAGTCTCCGGTATCATCGGCGATCTGGACACCATCATTCTGTTCGCCACTGCCGGTACCTTGTGCGCCGACCGGGAGAACGAGCGATTCTCCGATCATCGTGAGAACATCCTCAAGAGCGCCAAGGCACTCGTCGAAGACACGAAGACTCTGGTTGCCGGAGCCGCCTCGTCGCAGGAACAACTGGCCGTGGCCGCTCAGAACGCAGTGTCGACGATTATTCATCTCTCAGAGATGGTCAAGCACGGCGCCGCCAGTCTAGGTAGTAACAACACCGAGGCCCAGGTGATGCTGATCAACGCCGTGCGCGACGTCGCCTCGGCTCTCGGCGACCTCATCCACGCTACCAAGGGTGCCAGTGGCAAGCTCATCAACGACCCGAGCATGACTCACCTCAAGGACTCGGCCAAGGTAATGGTGTCCAACGTGACTTCTCTGTTGAAGACGGTCAAGGCCGTCGAGGACGAGCACACTTGCGGCAATCGAGCTCTCGAGTCGACCATCGAGGCGATCGCCCAGGAGCTGCAGTTCCCGAGCACTTCCTCCACGCTGGACGACATCACGCCGGAGGACCTCATCAAGTGCACGAAAAATATAACGACCTGCACGGCCAAGACGGTGGCCGCTGGAAACAGCTGCAAGCAGGAGGACATAATCGCCGCTGCAAACATGGGCCGTAGATTAATCAACGAGCTGTTCATGATATACAAGACGACCCTGAAGTGCTATCCGGAATCGGATGAAATAAGGGATCGTCTTTCCTCGGCTACTTACAACATTGCTACGAATTACAAAGAACTGCTGGAGTTGGTTCTACAGATCTCGACGAGATCGGGCGACCGTAAACACCTTCTGCTGCCCGCCTCGAAGAAGATCTCGCAAAACGTGACGGAACTGGTGGCGGTAGCACAAATGATGTCTTCCAACGGTCTCTTGGACCTGAACAATCCCTACGACTTGGCCGAGAACGAGCTCCTCGGTGCCGCCGCCAGCATCGACACTGCCGCGAAAAAGTTACAAGGCCTCCAGCCTCGCAAGAGCTTCCAAGCCAGCAGCACGGAGGAGTTCAGCTACGACGAGATCATTCTCGACGCGGCCAAGTCCATCGCGGCCGCGACGTCCGATCTGATCAAGGCCGCGAGTATCGCACAAATGGAGCTCATGCTCGCCGGCAGGATAGCCAAAAATCCGGTGACCAATTCCGACGACGGCCAGTGGTCCGAGGGCCTCATATCCGCCGCGAGATTGGTGGCCGCCGCGACGCACAGCCTGGTGGACTCGGCCAACACCTTGGTCCAGGGCTTCGGCAGCGAGGAGAAGCTCATCTCCAGCGCCAAGCAGGTCGCCAGCAGTACGGCTCAGCTGCTCGTGGCCTGCAAGGTCAAGTCGGACGCCGACAGCGCGAGCATGAAGGTGCTGCAGGCCGCCGGGAGCGACATCAAGCGCGCCACCGACAATCTGGTCAGGACGGCCCAGCAGGCCATTCAGCACGAGGAGGAGCGATCGCTGATCCTGAATCGGCGCATCGTCGGTGGAATCGCTCAGGAGATCAACGCCAGATCCGAGGTGCTGAGAATCGAGAAGGAGCTGGAGGAGGCCAGAGGACGCCTCACCGCCATTCGACAAGCCAAATATAAAAACAAAAACGAACAGTCGGAGAACGACGATTCGGTCATTATGGAATCCAACACGCCGCCGCAAATGGTGTCGTCGTTGTAATCGAGTATAGAGAATTTAATCGATTGAAATTTTTATTTGTTTCGCTCAAATCTCATGTGTAGATTAGAAAACGTGCTTTACGATGAAGAATGTCACAAGTTAATTTTTGTAATGTTTTAAAAGTATATAACATAGAAGTATATATTTATAAAAGCCTAGAATTTATAAAAATAGGTCAACAGTGCCAGCTTATCTCATTCATTCTTTTTTCAATATTATTCATTGTTCGGACAGAGTTGATGCGAACACGGCTTACACATTCGAAAATTATTAGTTAAATTTCAAAGTACTAACCCGTAAACAAAGTATTGGTGCCTTATTCAATGCGGACTGTACTAATTTATTGAATTCATATGATGAATAATAAATGTTGGTATATATATTATATATATTATTATATAAAGTGTTGTATAGTTTAATAAAAATATTGTTTTTAAAATAAAATTTTGTAATTCAACTTTTCCTAGACTCGGTTTAAAGCGTGAACTTAAGCAGCTAGTCATAGTAAAGCAAATAACATACTAAAATATTTTTAAGAGTTTACATGGTTGACCTGAACAGCTAATCAAAATAACCAAAAATTTATTTGCTTAGCGTAGAACGGCAATCGAAAATTCAAATGATTGAATTACTTATTTTACTTTTATTATTTTAAAAATTTTTTGGGCTTTGAAAAAGTCGAGGAATTTTTGAATGAAAAATCGTGTAATTATGTTAAAGTGAAGAAAAATTAAATAAATTTAGAAATTTAGATGCTATTGTAATTATAAATATTATGCACAAAATCAAAACTAATTATTGTAGTTGGAGATTGAATAATTATATTCTAATAATCAATATATTTTAAGTATATCATAAAAATCATATTGAAAAAGAAAACAAAAATTAAAATTCATGTCATATCATACAGCGCATTCCTAAAAGTACAGTTTATAAAATTATAAAACGATATAAAATATACTTAATTTGCCTGCGAATCAATAGGACCAACTTTTAAATAAAAGACGTTATATTACCCGAGTACAATAAAAATAAAAATGCCTACACAAAATGTCTATTTCATCTACAAAAGCTTTTGTATTACCGAAAATTCATAATATTAGAAAAATAAAATAATATTTAACAATACGTTACTGTGCATTTAAACGATGATGATTCAACCCAAACTATATCCCCAAAAATTCTCGTTAATTGATTCATAATGTAAAAGGAAGGCGAAACAATTTTTAGATATGATACAAACAAAAATGTCATAAGTTTTATCGTATCATAGAGTATTGACACGCGCAGCATTTTTTGTCACGAGAATGAAATCTTATACACGCATAAAAAATGACCAATCACTTCTTTATCGTAAGTATTTTGTGGAGTATAAGTTTTAAAAGAGTCTATTCGTAGTATCGTGACAAGTTTCGAGTTTTTTTTTCAACTGATGAATATTCAAATTACGCTGAGAGGAGAATGAAAAAAATTGATTGCATAGAAACAATATTCTTATTTATTCATCACACACCAAATATACAAAAATGAACTGCATTAATATCAGAATATAATATACTACTAACTTGAAATATATATTCAATAAAGTTATATCCGAGTATTTTACAAGTTTAGAATGATATCTCAACAGAAAAGATCATCTACAACATTCTTTCACAATTGGCACAAACATTTTGGTAGAAAATACGTTTTCTACTAAACATTTTTGAAAGATTATTACAATTGATTTTGTCATTCGATTCATTCACTTTTACAATAAATATTTTTCATACACGAAGGAAGATGGAAAGCTTAAATTGCTAACAAATTTCACTATGAGTGTGCAAACGCATATGGCGCGCACGAGTGAAAATAATTCGAAAAAATACGTTTTTCGACTTTATTTATCGGATACGGTGCTACAAGACAATTGAAAAAACGTTGGATTTGGATGACGTGACAAGAAAAATTTGATTCACACATTTTCTTCTTTGCCTCCTTGACCCGACTGTGATGGAAATATATTTCAATCCTAAATCGTGTTCCACCACCGCACTCATGTCGCAGATAAAAATTGCATGCGCGTTCGCAATCTTAACGTGTCAGTTTTCCGAATGAGCATAGAAGATAATGAGTAATCGAACATTGTTTAATTTGAAAATGGAATATCATTTATAAGTGTGGGCAGCATTCGGTTTGTATTTTTATATTTATTATATAGTCATCTTTTTTTAACAATACATTACAACTATTACTCGTTGGAATAAAGCAAAATTTTTCAAAATCATATAATAAAGTAAATACAGCTTATAATTTGTACAACAGACATATATTGTATACGAGTATACTAAAAACAAAATGATCTATATCATTAAGTTTTCTTTACTAGCGATGCGATTACCGACGTTTGCCACAAAGAAAATCATGGCTTTAATAAATAAAAATACTTATTCATCTATATTATCTATGTACATTTAATGAGAAAAAATGTCGAATATCTATTTGTATATCCGCTAATAAGTCGAGCAGATTTTTAAAACGTGGAATGTATATAATAATTTGTTTTATATTTATGTACACATACGGGAATTTGCATGTATATCGATAGTATCTTAATGAATTGTTTATATATAATATATATTTATATATTCATATGTATATGATTATATCACAAGAAAGATTCAAATGCTCTGTACAGGTTTATGTACTCGGAAGCATCAAATGCTTCAAAGCAAATTCCCCCTTAGAACTTGCATTTTTTACATAGCAATTTGCAATTTCTTTTTTTATTTTCGTTTTATTTCTATATATATTTTTTAGTTTACAAAGTTAAGACGTGGCTTAGGTTCTTTTTTAGGTTTATGCGATATTGTACTTTATGCTTTTCCATGCGCGCAGAGAATGTGTCAACCGGGTTTATCCAATCGAACATTCGAACGTCTTTTACAAATCTTAGTTACGTATCAGAATTAGACTTACGGATTTAATTTGAATACTATGTACATAATCATACATGCCATGCAGTGTATAACTTTGACGGCTCTCGAGATTCGCAGTTTCTACGCTTGAAGTATTATTTTTCAAAGAGTGTGTATATCGCGCTCTCAAATGACACTTGGACTCTCAACGGACTCGGATAAAAAAAACAAAATGATAAATCGTGATTATTTGACTATCTTGCACGCTTATTCACGCTCGTTTCTTTATAGTGGCTACCCATTAATGGCAAGTTTTATTTTCGGTCACATTTAAATTGGCACAATGATCGAAAGATTTTCGGTATTTCCAGTTCGTGCACGACGAATTGAACGATGAACATTTTTTAACGAAGCCTCTGTATGAGATAATTCGGCTTGTACGAATACGAAGAATTATACATATAATGCGCTGACGCGGATTTGAAACTATTTACCTAGGGGGTATGATACAGCAGATCCCTGCAGCGTTTCTACAATTATCGATTCACAGATATCTCGAAATACATAAATTCAAATGACGAACAATGAACATAATCGCTACACAATATTCATCGTAATACGAATCTCAAGCCGATAAAATCGCTTTAACTAATTAATCTCAAATTAGTAAAAATTAGACAATACTGAATGCACGAGATCGCTTGACCACAAGCCGAATTTGAACAGATGAATGTATCAATCGACGACGGGGCTTCTTCGGGACTCGTGCCCTCGAGCGGGATATCCCGTTGCTGTTTGTCCATTGCTTGGCGGCAACTCGATTCCCAAAAATTTCTATACACAATTTTGTTTGTTCCTGTCCACGACCAACCGATCCTCTCTACGCGTCTTTCATTAATTTGGCTGACAATCATCGAGTGTCGTAGCCCGGCTGAATCAACTGAGCGGAGCTGACTCAATTGTAGGGCCACGAGTGCCTTATCGACGTGACTACGTTCGAGGTCGGTGGGTCGTCTGGGCGTCACTTTTTCATATCGTTCATCATGTTTCCGTCCTTACTTTTGACGTCGAGCGATGATTGCTGACTGCTGGTCACGCCGCCGTTGTTGCCCGGGTACATTTTTTCGAGGTGATTTAACGATTCGTTCAGGAACTTCTACAATGGTAAAATTGTAAAGATTTATATGTGTTTACTTAAAAAATGAAACATCAAGAGGGTAAAATAAGCTTTCGAGACTAACCTGCATTGCTTGTAGAGCGGCAACTATAGCAGGACTTCCGAAACCGTGTGATATTAGAGAGAAATGCGTGAGGTGTCTCTGTATGCTCGGATCCAGAATATGTTGAGGTCGAGTATTGCACAGTGGTGACCTGTCCTGATTCAGAAGGTCCATTAACTCTTTGGTGATTTGCCTGCGACGAGAGAGATGGAAAGAAATTAATTATTTATTTGAGAACTTTTTCGCGACGCGTCCGTCTTTCGCTGTTTCAAGGTTTCATCAAACTCACTTTGTAGCATGGAGAAGCTCTTTTCTCCTGTAAGAGTCCTGTGGCTCGCAGTGCTGCCGACTCAAGTATTCCGCGACCTGCTTGGCCGGGAACTCCGTGTCGCACACGTAGCCAAAGTCTCGGGCCAAGTGGATAGCTTCACCTGCAATGCACAGCAAAAAAAGCACGATTTACGTTAGTAAAAAAAAAATGTATAGTCTCAGTCGGTGGATATCATTCTTATGTATAAAGTAAACATTGTTCGACGTGACTACGTCGAATGTTACAAATGAATTAGCTGCTTGTTCGCGCATACATAAGTCTCATAATAAGTCCTTTTGTTCTATAATTTTATCCTCTCTTTCTTTCTCTGCCTCGCTTAGATTGGGCTTGGAGATAATTGAAATTTTTCGCAAACACTTTTACTTCCGCCAAGTCATGCTGCTGCGGCTACGATATACAGCTTCGTGTCGTCATGATTGTTAATTTCGCAGAGAGTGTATACGCGTACGCAGCCATTTATCTCGCGCACGTGAGCATAAAAGAGACGCAGAAGCGAGATGCCGATCTAAGCGCGCGACCACGCGAGGGATGCTTGTTACACCAATGAGTCGGAGATACATTTTAATTCGTTGCCACTACGCGAGTAATGAGTAATTTTCATGAAACGATTGAAAAAGATTCCAAACGCATCGTTTTAGGTATTCGACCTCGCGAATCGCATCGCCGAAAATAACGCGGGCTTGGACAAATAATACGAGCGTTTAATAGTTTTCGAGTGAATCTGCACGAACGCGGACGATAACATCGCAACGACTCTTACGTTTTACTACTGTTTTACGTGCAAAAAAGGAAACGCACGCATCAAGAACTTTCACCGTCATCAACCCTTTTGACGTATATATTTCGGCAAAGAGCATTGCTTTTTTACTCGGCGCTCGGGCAGGTATTATGCGGGGCTATGGTCTCTTAATTACGGTGATAAGTTACCGTGAGAAAGTCTTGATGAGCCACAGCTGATCAAAAGAACCCTTCGCGCGTGGCGCGCAAAAAATACACGTGTATTATATAGTCTCGTGTCCGAGCTGCAGAGCATGTAACATGCATTAAGTACAACGCTGCTTTCGTGTTCATGTATCGTCGCTTTAGTTGAGTTTTTGCTCTTTCTCTCGCCTCTTTACCGGAAGAGCGACGGGCCCAATTCCAAAGTAATTAATAACCTGCTAATAACCAGTGCTGAATAGTACATAGGTACACAACTCGCTCGTTCGCGCGCGCACGGCACTTACGAAATTGCAAATCGCGGTTACGCGCGAAAAGCCGATTGTATGCGTTACCGTACACGCACGTTCGTCGTCAAAGAAAACTCGTACACGCGCGCGTAATCCATCAGGCGCGTTTACGGATCGCATTGTTCGATCTCGTTTTCTGCGGCTGCTGCTGCTGTTGCTGCACGCACGCATTATATGACAATATATTAAAGTCAAATGACCCGCGTGTCGCGCTCATGAAAGTCGCGCAGCAATAGGCAAAGAAAGTGTGGGAACACGGCAGCAGCACAGCATCGTGGGTGAGCCGCGCGTTGAAACTGTGTCTCCTCGCGAACGATCGCGACGCCGAGTATAATAATCCTTTTTCCAAAGCTCGGTGGCGGCGGTAGGACTCTCGTCATCATCGTTCTCAAAATGGCAAATTCTTTATGTTAATGCGCAAACGCGTGTCAATGCGCGCGTACACATGCGCGACGAGCAAAATTTATCGAACGCGAACGTGAAAAAAAGGCCTGGACGACGATAGAAAGTTAATACTTCAGCTCTCCGCGTGCTGCTGCGGGAGAGAAGAGACCGATGCTTGAGATTAATAGTTTACTGCTGAATATATATTTGCGACGAAATGACAAGTTTTTAACGGTGCTTACGCCAAAGATCGTAATTAATTGGACGGTACACTATAAAAGCTTGTCAATGCATACACTCTGTCGTTACATCCATATTTGCCTCTCTTCGGCGCGATGCTTGCGCGTGTATAATATATGAAACGCGCGCCTATATACACATGCACATTCACCGCAGTAAGTTTATTATACTAATGCAGCACGCGCGGCCTCGCAGTTTTGAAACAAAGTTAAAATTATTTATAATTTAGAGCCTCATCAATAAACTTTCCAAATTATTCTCTACTCTCGTGTTCCGGACGAGTTTTGATATCTCTCGTTAAAACGCATCTTCCAACTGTTATAATATTAACGCATGGCGCATAATTCAGCCTAGTCAACGTATTATAAATTCGCGTATAGAAATAAAAAAGAGCTTCGCTTTATATATATTTTTTTACGAGAGCTCGCAGCCCGACTCTCATAAATAATAATCAGTGTCGTAGATGACATTCGGGCTCCTTTGTTAGACTGTTCAACTAAGAAGATGAAAGGTCGGACCCTTTGACTACGAGAAACTGCCGAAATCCACATTTGGTGACTCGAATCTCGGGCGATTTATGACCTTTTTGGTTTGTGCATAGAAAAAAAGGATACTTTTGTAAAAATTGTAAGATTATATTCTTAGATACGCGAGATTTATCGCAGTAATCGAGAAATTTTTGCGACCTGAGATCCTGTGTAAAGCGTGTAATAATTTACAGCTTTTATTTACTTTAAGTGCGCACGCAGTCCATTTTTCATTTTTGCAGCAGGAGGTTTCAGGTCTCGAATTCAATAATTTAATATTGATTTTTTTTATCGCAAGAGCGGTAAGATTGATTTCCTTACCTTCGACTAAAGAAGTTAACAGCGTGACGTTGGCGGCCTTCCTTCTACCGGCAGGAAGATTTAGTCCAATTTTTTCTAGCTTTTCCCTGAGTAAACGTCCTCCATTTTTAGATTTTGCTCTGTGAAACAAACGAATTATTAGAGTTAATTAAAGTATACAATGAATAATCGTTTATATTTAACAAAACTGTATTATCAATGACACTTTTTGATTCATTTTTGTTTTTGATGAATAAATCATAATAAAAGTGAAATCGCGCGGATAAAAAGATCAAACGAAGGTAAGATAATAAAAGAGAAACAAGCAGACAATAACAATGCACAGGTGCGTGGAAGTAAGCATGGTATACAGGCGCGCGCATAAGAGAGAGAGAAAATGAAGCTGCTGCGGAGTGAAATAAGGAGGTACGAAAATAAGACGAGGCTTTGAAACACACAAGAACATTAATCATCAGTCAAAAGAGGAATATACTGTATACACACAGAGCTGAGAGAGAGAGAGAGAGAGAGAGAGAAGGCTCGCGTGTGCACATGCGTCTATATATACGTATATACGCGCGAAGGTACGAAAATTAGCATAATCGAGTTACATTGCATGCCGCGACGCGCATCCACCGCCACGTGCATGGGAGTCTTTTCGAGGCTTGCCGTAATGTAACGCGCAGCAGCAGCAGCGAGTCGCTCGCGTTCGGTAGGATTGCAGGGCTTTTCAACTTTTATATCATTGATGATTTATCGACGCATAGTTTGCATGTTGCGCACATTTCTGATTTGTGAGGGTATGCACTCGGACGCCGATACACTCACACAATATTATATCATTCGGGAGCTTTCTGTTCACGCAGGCACGTATCACAGAGAAAAATTGCGAGAAATCAAAAAGACGCTCGACTGTATTAAATGTCAGTCCATAAAGCCCTACGCGTATGCATGTGTACACGGACCCTCGCTCGAATTATGAATAGGCCTAGAAACCAGTCTCTATCTTGGCTCGTACGCGCGCGCGCCTCCCGATTCTCCCTGTGCTCGTGCGACTGCAAAACATCAATTTTATTCAGCCGCGTTCAGGCGAAGAATCGTTAAATTCACTTGGCCTGCGAGCCGCTGCCACCGCTCGATTTCTCGCTCGCTTGTATTAATGCACGTGGGCATTAACGTAGCTACATAGCTATATACGCAGAGTCGATGCTTTTTATTCGCGCGCCCAGCAGCAGCAGCGCATCTAATCTCCTGCATCTCCGTCACGAATGTATCCGGGACTCTATTATTCCGCGAGTTCTAGCCGAGGGAAGTATATCGCGTCGCGCGCGTGTGTCCCGACGGCGGCCGATAGTAAATCTAAATTTGTTGTAAATTTCGAGTCTTTGTCACTCGAGGGCCGCGCTGTGTTCTTTTCTCCAGCTTCGGTAATAGATATACCTCTCTGCATTGTGACAAAGATTCTTTCGACGCTCCAGCCTGTGCCAAGAGTTACGTTCGACATCGCGATTTATAATATTGCAACGGCAGCAGTCGACTAGCTTTACTATAGAGAAAAAAAATTGTCTTGCTACGACTTTGACGAGAAGTTTTGGCAGTTCCGACAAATGAATTTTAAAGTGATCCGAAATTCGTCTACATACATACCGACAAATCAGTACCACTGCCGAAAAAGCAGACAAAATTTCCATTGCCTCGTGCTCGCAGCAATTGCATATCGGAGGGTAGCTCGCTCTCGTATACACGGTAGCAAACTAGTCGTTCTCGTTATGTCTTTCTCTTTATCTCTTTCTCTCTTTCTCGGCTATGCGCGCGATCTCGTTAATTAAGCCATTGACTGAGTGCTGCTGCACGACACGCCGAGTGGGGAGCATATTTCAAGTTCGTTTAGGCATCGTATAATATAAGATTGGTTTCTCTCGCAGAAAGAGAGAGAGACTCGTTGCGTCTCTTTTATAAAACGTGACGATTTCTCAGACTCGTTAATCGTCACCTTTTGTCTCCGATGAAAAATTGCAGAGAGCCATATTCTCGTTTGAACAATTCCTCGACGAAAATTATGATCGTATAACGTCAAAAATCGAGGAATTAAATTGGGGGAACGCAGTTAAAATTCACTGATACCGACAGTTTAACTCGCAGATTTTAACGGCCCGAAACTGCAACTGCATTTTCACGAGTGCAGCGAGCAAATAAACGACCGACCCCATCGAGCAAATATTTATACAGTTTACGTTCGGTGTACCCTTTCGTCTGCGGCTGAATGCACGCGTGGTATTGAAATACGTTATATGCGCGCAACAATTTAATTTTCCAATTGTCATCGAATCATCCTGTTCATACCAATAAAGCATCAAAAAAGAAAAATCGTAGTAGAATCTTACCTTCGCAAGACGCCGCCGAGCAAGCTGGCGTTCAAGCACTCGGGCGGTGATAATCGTCGCTGAACTTCCGCGACTGTGACTTTGTACTTGCTGGTGCTGCTGAGCAACGAGAGCCTGCCGGGCACCGAGCAGAACACGTCCGTGGGTTGAGCGTTACCCGAGAGCATGGCCTTCTCGCTTCTTTCCGATGGCTTCATATCTGCAAAGAGTAAAGAAGACGTGAGCATCAATAAGTCGAATTCTATATGCAGCGCGTGTGATGTAAATCATTCGACGAGGTTTTAATTATGTCATCCTTCTGCGGCAGATTTATCGTGCGTAAGAGATGAAAAGTTATCAGGGGATATTTCAAAAACGGCGAGGAAAGTACGTGCTCACAGCGATAAGCCAGAGAAAGTAAATATAATATTCTTGTACAACTGTGTTGGCAAACATTTTATCAAAAATTTTGCTTGAAAAAACATCGAATACAGTTCTATACCCCATATACTTAGGCGTCAGTCTACACACACATGTACGCGCATTACCTCGATATTACGACTACTTTTATTAAGCTAACGGTGTTAAGACCCGAACGCACTGATATCATCACCTATGGACTTTCTATCGTTAAGTTTGCATCATATTAGCATCTCGTGCGTGCTGCTATCCGAAGTACACGAGTCCGTGTGAAAGTAAAATGCTGTAATGAAGCTTTGAACTTTAATTGCATTAGCGCATCTTCGCACTTAAGGTATTTGAAAATAATCGAGTTTAGCTGCTTGTCGGTATACTTCTCTGTCGATACCCGAATCGTATAGATATATAGCAGCCAGGCAATAACTTTTGCGTACGTATGGAGGCGATCTTTCCGTGTCCGTGAACATATTTTATTAGGAAAATTCAATCAGCTTACCAAATTTTCATTCCTACAATGCATCGATAACTGCCCGAAGATCTTATATTGCATCCACGGATCGGAATGCTTAATATCACGGGAAAAGGGCAAGTATGAGCAGCAGCAGCAGCTGCTGCCTACTCAAAACCAACGTGTATCTATATCGGCTGTATGGTCAAGCTTCTTCTTCCCTTATTTGTTTTTCGTTTTTCTCTCTCTCTCTCTCTCTCTCTCCCAACAAAAATATGCTCGCAAATACGCCGCACTTATCGGGTCGTCCGCGCGCGCGTGGGTGTATAAAGTACACCACGGCCATATATTTTCATGCTCGCCAGCTTGTTGCTGTTGTTCGACGCGAGTGTTTCGACCCGGAGAGATTATTAGTTGGGGATTTGCGCTGCCTTCCGAAAGGCAATTTTAAGTAGATAGCTAAATTCTTGGCAACTTTAAACTTCGACTTAGCGCAGAGGCGTAATAAATGAATTTTATATGCCGTGCCGAGCTCGGAGAATGAGATGCTTTTATTTTGAATTCCCGTTGCGTATTATCTGTGCAGCGTGTAGTCGTTGAAATGTTCACTCCGTTCGACAAGTGTTATTTTATTAAGTTAATGCACGCGTATACGTAAGTGAATAGTCGAATGAATTCGATTATTTTTTTCTTCAACGAGGACACACATACTTATCAATTTCTCGTGTAAGAATTTGATTTGATTAGCGCCATAGAAATGTATAGAAGCTCGCGGGCCTTTCAGCTGTTGTATCTATTAAAATGACAAACAGATATCCGACACGCTTAATTACCATCAAACTGAGTCGTTATGCCTCGGCGCACATGCACACATGCACATGAAAACTTTAGAGCTGCACATTCACTCCGACGCTCGCGTTTCACCTTTACCCATATTACGAGATGAGATACTTCCGCCCGCGCCGGATCGCAATTCTGCTGCGTATATCTTTATGAAGTCTTTCTCACGTGCGCAGCAACGGCAGCAGCAGCAGTACAGTATGCAGGCATCACCTGTCCGCCCCGAGAGCTATTTCGAATTTGCATACAGTGTATATGATGTTATATAGCGCGCGCGCGGTGGGTTATGACGCGGTGTACGCTCACGAAATGATTGATAATTTGCGCACGACGACAGGTACTTTCCTTTCTCTATGGCAGTGTCTCGCAAGCTCGCGAAGCTGATTTTACTGCCACGCGGTTATTAGTCGGCCCACAGCGTGTCACGAGTCTTTATTCATTTCGCACCGATCACAGAGAGCTGACGATTCGCTTTCGTGTGAGAGCTTTTTTTGTTGTTTTTTTTATTTCGAGCGAACGATGATTGCAACGGTGTCACGCAGCTGCCGCGTGAAACAGCGCAAATAGAGAAGCCAATTCATTGATTCGATTGGACGATTGAAAAGGACGATGACGACGAAGCATCGCGGTTGGAAATTCCTTTTAAATCCTTAATCGTTAGATATAATTGTTAAGCACAATATAAGGTATGCCGACTATTCAACAGATGAATTCAAAATTTACTTAAGCAAATTTATGATATTAACTTCGGTTAAATAACATAACAGTACTCGCGCGTTGCATTCATTCGCGCGCACACAGCGCACTCACACTCCTGTACACGCGCGGTACCAAATCAACCATTAACTTATCATAATATTTGAGAGATAAATCGCACCTCTTATAGTTGTATCCTTTAAAGCAAAGCTCGAAACAATCATACCGATAGCTTACAAATGGACTCCTCGATGCCGCGCAGACCCAACGGACCAAATTCCATCAGTCCGCGTTTATTATATATGGACCATGGTATCAGTTGTACGCGCCAAGGCGAATTTGATTACGATCATTAAAGACTCCTAAGGTGGCATAAATCATCGCTCGCGGGTACCAACAGGTAAATATTATATGTACTTTCTTTTCCGCGCGGAGCACGGCACGGCACACACAACAAGATTATATTGAGCGCCCGAGTAGCTGCGAATAATTTGTCAGCTCTCGGCGCAGCGCAGAATATTATGGGTGTTTGAGCGTGTGATTGACCATGAAAAGATGATTTGGTTTATTAATCGTTGACCTTAGCTTCGGTGCACAGTCGCTGCAGCAAGAGAGAGTGTGCGTGTGTGCAGTTGAGATTTTTGCACCACTTAGAAGGAAGATGAAAATCATGATTGATCGATCAGTAGGCTGGATAAATTCCCGAATAACAGTTTTCGACTAACGGTTATTGTTATATCAGCAGGATTTCTCATACTCATTTATCTTGTAAATTTTTGCAAAATGATATGGACGAAGAACAAAGTATTTATTAAAAAGGGAAAAGGAAAAAAAATGATGTGCGAAATATTCGTGGATCGGCTGGCTGCTCGAGAGAGAGAGAGAGAGAGCTGAGAAAAAACCTCGAGCCGTGTGAATAAAATCCAAGTACTCCATAAATATTAAATAAACGATTATCTTCTTCTTGCAGTTATAACGGTAAAATCGCTTTTTTTTTTGTGTTTTTCGTCTCGCGAAAAAGTGAAAAAATACGAGAGATAAACGGCGAGGAGCGACAAAAAAAGAGGAGAGAAGGAAGTCAAAAGCGAAAACACCGCCGTACTGTGTCTGGCGTGTGCAGCGATGACGCGCTCGCTCGAGCTGCTACTGTCCTAATAGCGATCGTGTCTCAACGCCGGACTGTAATTTTCATTCCGATGAAAAAGGGAACAGCAGCAGCAGAGAGTCAACGTAAAAGAGGAGAAAAAAATAAAGAGCAGCGATCTCGGTAGTAGCACAAGTCTTATGATTCGAGATGCGCAGAGGGTATCGACCAAACCTCGTAAAGTCTTTCTTTTCGAGCCGTTTGAATGTCGTATAGCACCGGCAGTATTATACATCCGTCCTTCGTGCGCGCGTGCAGGCTGAATTCCAGATCGTGAATTCGCGATGGTATTATTTCAGATGAAATGAATTTCTTGAAAAAACTTCCGCAGAGTCTGGTCAAATAAAGGCTCGTTGAGAGGATCATTGCATTTTACCAATAATCATCGATGAGAATTTTCCGTCGTCGCGGTACATGTCTTATAATTCATACTTGTACGTGATTTTTGCAACGTATCAGTTATAAACTCGAGCATGATTAAAGATCGCTAAATAATATAGGAAATTTATTATCTAGACTCATTGAAAATCTATGGGCCCTTATTTATCGCAGATTGGCCGTGCAGCACACAACAAGCAGCCTTTGCCTCCTCGAAACCGGTACACTAATCATCGCGGCAGCGGCTTCCTAGCCGCTTTATAATGGTAGTTCTGATACATCGAATATCACTTCTTCGCGAGCTACTGTTTTCAGCGCGTTAGCTTCAATTAATCACCCCAGATGAGCAATCTCTCTCTCTCTCATCGAGCTTGGCCTATAATTTCGTATAGCAGCCGCGATCTGTGAGCGCGCGCCACCGATCCGAAAAGGCTTTTCTAACGCGGAACGAAACGGTCGGCCTGAGTAACTTGTCGAGTTTATGGAGATCGGAAGCTATGTTTTTTGCTGCATAGTAATCAAAGGAGCTGATACTAAATTTAAAAGCTGCAATGGTTATTCCCTTATATGCGCGCGCCTTTGCACGGAACGCGCCGTACTTTATATATTTGCATGCCATTAGAACTCGGTGTGGATTACTCCTCTTATTTTCTTCTTCATTCGGATAAGCTTTAAAAGTTTTTACGCGCTGCTGTACAAGTGCGGTTTATTTTTTTTTTATAATTGAAAGCCCCCGATGCGTATTTCATTTTTTCACTCGACTGCTGCAACAGCAACGGCAGTACACAAATTCTCGGGGATAACCCAGCGTAAATATTTTAGACTGCTTTTATAAGAGACGCGTGCAGAGTCTTCCACACGTTGCACCGAATATATAATATATTTGCAATATCAACGCGCTTTTCTCACGGACTATCAGTACACGAGCATTGAAAATCGTTGTTATTCCCAGTAAACCCGTCGTAAATCTTGAATCAAGCACAGGTACATAGCTCATAAATACGACACGCGTATATTCGCTGACATATCGTATGCACGAAAAACAATCCCGACTTTATCTCGGTTTCAGACTTGTAGGAAAACGCTCTTACAATATGTAAGTATGTTAAACGTAGCCGAAGCTGCGAATTATGTAAGCTATGAGATATTTATTATCATATCAATATAAAAGGACACTTTACATTCAAGGATTGTGAAAAAAGTCGATAAATTATAAAAATGGAACGCGATCTCGCTCGTTGGTTGACTAATAAAAATGTTTTCATTCGAGCTCGTATGTATCGGATCACACATA